GGACCGTAAAAATAGAGCCCTTAGAGTTTTAAAGAATAATGAGTTTAAGGATTAAAAAAATATATTTTTAAAATGTCATCAAATTAATTTTGTTCCACATTTGCCAATTTTATTTTTCAGTCATATTTTATTTTCTAAATAATGATACAAAAAGGTTAGTAAGCAGAGCATCACTCAAAGCTGAGGAAAAAAAAAGATTTATTTCTGTACAAAAGTCTTTACATTTTTTTTTTATCTAAAGTAATACATTTTTATTACCTGTAAATCATTCACATTTACATCACATCCATATACAACTTAAAGTAAATGTCATGTATATTTGAATTATACACTGAAGTGAAAATTGTACTTAAACCTTTACTTTTTTTTTTTTTTTGGTTGTTTTATTTTTACAGATAGGACAGAATTACATTACAACTTAAAAGTCCCTTAGAAGATGTCCCTTTTCTGGATTTGTGTAATAGTGCCTGTACAATAAATAAGTATAAAATATATCTCTGTTATCAATCAGGATTTTTTAGTTGTTGCTTTTTTTTAAGAAACACACAAAACATACAAAAACACTAACAAATTACAATCCCCGAAAAAAGACCAGCTATTTCGGCAAATGGACACGGTCGTTCTGCTTGCCAAAGGAAAGAAAAGCTGATTCCTCATCGCTGATCTGATCTTTTTATGATTAGCTGACATTTACTAATGCTCAGATTCAAATGCATTCTCTATTAATCTATTTAAAGGAACAGTTCACCAGAAAATCAGTGCTCTAGTATTAAAAGATAAAACTGCATGGTGCTCATTTCCGTTTATTTACATATCATATCTGTGTAAATATGCATAATATTATAAGTACTTTTATAGTGCTTTTGCTCATATATTTAAAGATTAAATCATATTTTTGCATTGATTTTGTTCCATGAAATTACAAGGAATTTTCAATCTTTTGGTGACATGTGCCTTTAAAGGGACAGTACACCTAAAAAGATTTAAAAGGGACCTATTATGCTTCTTACAAGATGCAAAATAAGTCTGTTGACTATAGAGAGAGAGAGTGTGAAGTTTAAAATAGTTCAGCTCAAAATACTGCACAAATAATGTTTTATAACTCTTAAAAAAACTGACCCTTTTAGGCTTTGATCCTAATTGTGGTGTTTTAGTCACTGTCACTTTAAATTCAAATGAGATTGTGCTCTTTTCAAAAGAGTGCGGGGCTACAAGTGCCTGTGTGTCAGCATAGTGGCAGATTCAAAAACAAGACTAACGCCCTATACTAACAAGGGTGATATGGTCACTAGGGGGCGGGGCTTACCCCTCTGATGACACGTACAAACTTGTTTTTATCAAGTGTATTTATACAAAAATTAAATTAATACATTTTTACCATTACCACTGCTGCCACACAACTGTGATTAAACCATGTATAATGTTGATTTTTGCATAATCGGTGATTAATACATTAAATTGTCATCATTTAATCCATTTTTTTGTTATTTCTTTTGAACATGTAGGAAGATATATTGAAGAATGTTGGAAAAAAAAAACTGCTATTGACTACTAATGTATTTTTTGTTAAAATTTCTACTATAAAAGTCAATAGCTGCATTTGAAATCCTTTACTTCCATACTATAGAGTAAGGATGGCTGACATGAAACTGATGTTTCGACAGATCCCAAAGGGCAAATGTTTTAAAACACTGCAAACATCTGAAACACCCAGGTCACGTGACTAAAGCGTTTCAAAACACCCAGGTCATGTGACTAAAGTGATTCGAATCACCCAGGTCATGTGACTAAAGTGATTTGAAACACTCAGGTCACGTGAATAAAGTGATTTGAAACATCCAGATCATGTGACTTAAGTGTTTCAAAACACCCAGGTCACGTAAATAAAGTGTTTCGAAACACCCAGGTCACATAACTGAAGTGATTTGAAACACCCAGGTCACGTGAATAAAGTGATTTGAAACATCCAAATCATATGACTAAAGTGTTTCGAAACACCCAGGTCACGTAAATAAAGTCATTCGAAACACCCAGGTCACGCGACTAAATTGATTAGAAACACCCAGTTCACGTGACTAAAGTGTTTCAAAACACCCAGGTCACATAACTGAAGTGATTTGAAACACCCAGGTCATGTGACTAACGTGATTCCAAACACCCAGGTCACGTGACTAAAGTGATTCGAAATACAAAGGTCATGTGACTAAAGTGATTCAAAGTGTCGATAATTTGTAGTATGTCCGAATTCGAAAGGCAGTATGTGAGAAGTACCCAAATGAGCTACTACTTCTGGCAAGATTCTGATGCGCATCTGACGAATGTTACGATATCCCATGATGCACAGCGAGAAAATTTATGAATAGAAGTGAAGTGAAGCAACTGACGCAGGTAGGTCATGTGATGATGACAAAATGGTGGATGTAGTACATCCGAGTTCCATTCATACTTCTGACATTCATACTGTATAGAACGTACATTTCAAATGGTCAAGTAGTACATTTAAATTCAAAAGTAGGCGATTTCGGAAGTAGCAAATGTTTGCGTTTTTCCAACATCCTTCAAAATATCTTGATTTGTGTTTATCACAAAGAAATTAATAAAAGTTTAGAATCACTTAAGTGTGAGTAAATAACGAGGAATTTATTTTTTTTAGGTGAACTGTACCTTTAAGTGCAACTATTACTTTTTTGCTGGCTCTCTTGTTCAACGCAAACGAAACCAACTCTTGTGCGTGACAGAAAAATGAGAAAACCTCACGACGTTTACAATCTGAAATCTTTTTCTACATATTTAAAAAAAATTAAATGAAAACATGAAGGCAAACATCACCCAGAGGGACGAAAACAAGGAATGTTGCGTTTGTTTTCAGTTCATTCGTTTTTTTGTTTTGTTTTTCTTTCGCCCATTGAAACTCAAGTATATTCAATTGACGACACGATCCAAAAAAGCACTTGACGTCCACGTTGTCACATACAGTGGAATGGGCCGGGAAACAGAAACACATGCTGGGCTGAGATGTGGGTTTCAGTAGTCAGTCGGTCTTCAGAGCTTCATCATCTTCACCACAGGAATCGGCAGCACTTGGTGGAGTTTGACTCGCTCGTCATCAACACTCATCTTCAGCCAGTCGGGCCGGAACGAGCCCTTGAAGCCCACAAACGCCAGTTTATCTGAGGGAAATGAAGCCACAGAATGAGACCTCAAAGATTATGCTGATGAGTTCATTATATGTTGTGTGGTTTGGTGGTTATTTAATGACTTTGTGGAATACTTGATTCTGATTGGTCAGCTGTGATGCTATTTGAATTTAACGGTATTTTAGTATACTATATTTATAATGGTTAGCACTGTCACCCCACAGCAAGAAGGTCACTGGTTCGAGTCCTGACTGGGTCGGTTGACATTTCTCTGTGGAGTTTGCACGTTCTCCTCGTGTTTGTTTGGGTTTCCTCCGGGTGCTCCGGTTTCCCCCACTGTCCAAACACATGTGCTATAAATGAACTGAATTAACTAAATTGGCCGTAGTGTATGTGTGTGAATGCGAGAGTGTATGGGTGTTTCCCAGTACTGGAAGGGCATCCACTGCGTAAAACATATGCTGGATAAGTGATAAATGGATTAAGTTGAAAGAAAATGAATTTATATATATATATATATATATATATATATATATATATATATATATATATATATATATATATATATATATACACATCCTGTGACTGTGAAATGTTTGGTGTCGTTCATGAACACGGCTGATGGGAAGACATGGAATGTAAGCTCAGAGAGCTTTGCCTGCTGAAATGACAACTGTAGATGATAAATGTAAGATGTGAAGGGAGTGTCGAGAGGAAGGACCCTGCTGCTCTGGTATGTGTGTGCGTGTGTGTCCAGTCCATCCCCCCAAAAAAAAGAACACTTCACATATGGCCATTGGTTTGTATTTGATTATCTGGGGGCTTCACTCCCAGATTCCCAAATAATACTGAATTATCTCACAGCAATTTGTAGCTTTTTGATTTAGTGGCTAATTCGTATAAATTTGTACGATCTCATTTGTAAAATTCAGTATGATTTGCTCATCTCACAATGACAGTTGAGATTAGGGGTGAGGTTTGGTGCCACACTTTTAAAAACCCCATGAACTTAATAACTGAACTGAATTTGTCTGAATAGGCGTCTAAACTGAGAAAACGTAACATGTGAGATGAAATTAAAGATACACTACTGTTTTTATTGTTAGAAGACGTCTCTAATCATGAATCATCCATGCATTTATTCACATTTTTCGTAAGCCTTGCTTAAATGTTTGTTTAATTGAACGATGCAAGTTTTAATCAAATATTTAGCACATGGCTAACATGTATTAACAAGAACCTAGCATATCTCTAGTACATGGCTAGCAGGTTTTAACATGCTATTAACCTAAATTAGCACATTGTTAACTTTTCAAGGTTAAAGAAAGATTTAGCACATGGCTAGCATGTTTTAACATGGTGCTAGCATGTTTCTAATATATGGCTAGTAGGTTTTAACATACCACTAACATAAATTAACACGTTGTTAACTTTTTAAGTTTAAAGACAGATTTAACACATGGCTAACATGTTTTAACATGATGCTAACATGTTTTAGTATATTGCTAGTATGTTTTAACATGCTACTAACATAAGTTAGTGTGCTGTTAACTTTTTAAGTTTGAAGAAAAGATTTAAAACATGGCTAACATGTATTACCAAGAACCTAGCATGTTTCTAGTACGTTGCTAGAATGTTTTAACATGCTACTCGCATGAATTAGCACGTTGTTAACTTTTTAAGAATAAAGAAATATTTAGAACATGGGTAATATGTTTTAACATGGTGCTAACATATTCCTAATATATTGCTAGTAGGTTTTAATATACTACTAACATAAATTAGCACGTTGTTAACTTTTTAAGTTTGAAGAAAGATTTTACACATGGCTAACATGTTTTAACATGATGCTAGCATGTTTCTAGTACATCCCTGGCATGTTTTAACACACTATTAACATAAATTAGCACATTATTATTAACTTTTTAAGGTTAAAGAAAGATTTAACACATGGTTAATTTGTTAACAAGAATCTAGCATGTTTCTAGTACATTGCTAGTATGTTTTGAAATGCTACTAGCATAAATTAGCACGTTGTTAACTTTTTGAAATTAAAGAAAGATTTAGCACGGCTAATGTATTTAAATATGGTGCTAACATGTTTCTAATACATTGCTAGTATGTTTTAACATGCTAAAAACATACATTTTAGCCATGTTTCTTATGTTTTAGAGTACAGGTGTCAAACTCAGTTCCAAAAGGGCCGCAGCTCTGCACAGTTTAGTTCAAACCCTAATTAAACACACCTGATCAAACTAATTGAGTCCTTCAGGCTTGTTTGAAACCTACAGGTAAGTGTGTTAGAGCAGGGTTGGAACTAAACTGTGCAGGGCTTCGGCCCTCCAGGAATTGAGTTTGACACCCCTGTTTTAGAGTGTTAGCACGTCCATATTGTTAGCTTGATTTAGTCTGTTTTTTTTTCTTTTTATTATTAATTAAAACATGCTACATATACTATGTAAAATTAACTGGCACTTGTCATAGCACTTATATATTATTGCAGTTTTGTTGATCAAACTGCTTTTCTTATTTTAAGTCACTTTGGAATTGCTAGCTAAATCAGTTGAAATGTTTCAGCATGTATTAGCATTTTAAAAGCACAAACCTATTAGCATTCTTTAGCAAGTGGCTAGCCTATTTTACAATGTTGCCATGGTTTATGTAGCAGTTTTCTAGTGTGATTTAACAGTGCAGTCAGTCTTAGCACATTGTTAGTATGCTTTAGCATGATTTAACATGTTGCTGTAGCATGTTTAGCACACAAATCCTTTATTAATAATATATACGTTTTAATTATGTCTCTTGACCATTTTAATGTGTATTTGGTAACACTTTAGGTTACTTAAACCATTAACTAACTAGCTTAAAAAACTACTGATTGGCTGTTTATTATCAGTTAGTAAAGGGTTTTAGGTGTTGGGTAGGATTAGGGATGAAGAATAAGATCCTACTTTATAACTACAAATGAATAGTTAGTGTTGGAGCCATTTATGGGTGGCAATTTTCTTTTGCACCACTAGAGGGTGTATGAGGTATTTATGCTCTCCTCAAGACGAGTGAGAGATGTGTAGAAGAAGAAGGTCAAACAAACTTTTTGACCGCCATGCTGTGAGAACGGGTTTATGTTTGTTTTGATGTTTACTTTTAATTTTGAGAAAGGACAATAAATGGATTGGAATATCCAACTTTATTTGTAATCGCATGGACATTTCACTTTTTTATTGACCCGTTCAAGCAACAAACGCATCAGAACCAAAGACCAAAATATTCGCCTCTACAGTTAGTTATATCGTAATAAAAGGCAGGTAATAAGAAAGGATTATTAATTGTGACCTAAACTAAAGTGCTATTGCGTATTTATTAAATAAATAAATGTTTCCAACCATGCACATGTATTGTCCTGAATGTGACTACGTGAATGGTATTACCTTTCAACTTGACCGTCTGATCTGCTCCAAGGGTACTGAGAAGTTTGGTCCATGGCCCTCTGCTGACCAGTTTCCCTTTAGACGTGATCAAAACCACTGACCTGCAAGTGTGAGAAATGAGTTAGTGGATGACAAGCTCAAAATACCACACAAATAATGTTTTATAACTCTTGGAATGGTGGCATGGTGGCTCAATGGTTAGCACTGTCGCCTCACAGAGAAAAGGTTGCTGGTTTGAGTCCCAGCTGGGTCAGTTGGTGTTTTTGTTTGGAGTTTCATGTTCTCCCCATGTTGGTGTGTGTTTCTTCCATGTGCTTCAGTTTCCCCCCACAGTCCAAAGACAAGCGCTAGAGGTGAATTGGATAAACTAAAATGCACAGTGTATAAGTGTGTGAATACGAGAGTGTATGAGTGTTTCCCAGTACTAGGAAGGGCTGGAAGGGCATTCATTGTGTAAAACATATGCTGGAATAGTTGACGGTCCAAATTGTGCCCTTGTGCTGATTGTCGCTTTAAATTCAAATGAGATTGTGCTCGTTTCAAAAGAGGGCGGGGCTATAAATGCCAATGTGTCACAATAATGGTGGACAGCTGCTTAGACTGACTGAGATGATCAACTCAATAAAGTGCATCTGCATAAATTATACTATATATTAAGCAAAAATAAATAAACAAACAGTGCTTTGTGTTTTTTCTGAGAGTCTAACAGTATTCAAGTACAGAAATCACATGTAAAACACATTCCCCAGCCACTTTATTAGGTACACCTTACTAGTACCGGGTTGGACCCCATTTTGCCTTCAGAACTGCCTTAATCCTTTGTGGCATTGATTCAACAAGGCACTGGAATTATTCCTCAGAGATTTTGGTCCACATTGACATGATAGCATCACGCAGTTGCTGCAGATTTGTCAGCTGCACATCCATGATGCGAA